GTTGAACCATCCCGGTCCTGGAGCAGAGCTCAAGGAACTTGATCCTCCCAAGGGGCTTGGTGAGCAGGTCCGCAAGCTGGTCCTTGGTGTTGATGTAGCTCGCCTTGATGCTCCCTTCCTCAAAACAGCCTCGGATGAAGTGGTACCTCACCCGAATGTGCTTGCTGCGTTCGTGGAAGACGGGGTTCTTTGCCAGGGCCAGAGCGAACTTGCTATCCACCCTGAGCTCCACCGCTCTAGTGTCTCTGCCGAGGAGATCACCAAGCAGTCGAACGAGCCAGAGCGCCTGAGTCGAAGCGGTGGAGACCGCTATGTACTCGGCCTCGCAGCTAGACAGGGCCACCACCTGCTGCTTGACCGACTGCCAGCTAACGAGGCACTTGTCGAGGAAGAAGAGGATCCTACTCGTGCTCTTGCTGGTGTCGATGTCGTCGGCGTAGTCGCTGTCGCTGTACCCGACGAAGTGTGCCACCCCAGGGCACCTAGGGTAGTAGAAGCCGTGGTCGAGCGTCCCCGCAACGTAGCGGATGATCCTCTTCACAGCCTGCTGGTGCTCTGTTGTCGGTCGCTGCATGAACCGACTAACGTAGCCGACGGAGAATGCCAGGTCCGGCCGTGTGTGGGCGAGGTAGCGAAGGCTCCCCACAAGACGCCGTTACTGCGTAGCGTCCACCTCCTCCGCCGTGCTGTCGCGGCTCAGCTTCAGCCTGCTCTGGTGGCCGGCGTGCCTCCAACCTACTACCCTTTGGCTCTTGGGACATACCACCAGGTGCCCACCCAGGCGTCTCATCCTGCCTGGACGCCAGCACCACCTCCGATGCCTCCTGCTTGGTCACCATGGGATCTCCAGTCCCTCGCCAACGCCTTCAGCACCGTCACCCTCACCCCGCCACCGACCTCCTCAGACTGGGTGATCGACTCAGGTGCTTTGTCTCACATTGCCTCCAACCCTGGTATGGTTACCGTATCTCCATCCTCCTCTTTTCCTTCATTGTTGTGGGAAATGGCGCCACTCTCCCGGTTGTTGGCACCGGATACTCCACTCTTCCTGGCCCTTTCCGTCTCAACAATGTCCTTATAGCTCCTGACATCATTAAAAATCTTCTTTCTGTTCGCCAGTTCACTACTGATAACTTTGTTTCTGTGGAGTTTGACCCTCTTGGTGTCTCTGTGAAGGATCTCCATACCAGGAACACCCTTCTTCGATGTAACAGCTCAGGGCCGCTCTACACCTTGCAGCTCCCGTTGTCGCCTTCTGACCCTTGTGCTCTTGTGGTCACTCCTTCTCCAACTACCTGGCATCGTCGTCTCGGCCACCCCGGCAGGGCTACCCTTCAGAGTCTCGCCCAATCATCTTCCATTTTCTGCAGCAAGTCTACAGATGACTCCATCTGCCATGCCTGTCAGCTTGGGCGCCATATTTGCTTACCTTTTACTAGTTCCTTGTCTAGAGCACCTAAAAATTTTGATCTGATACATTGTGACCTATGGACATCCCCTATTGTCAGTGTATCCGGATTTAAATATTATCTCGTTATTCTCGATGATTGCTCTCATTTTCTTTGGACTTTTCCTCTTCGATTAAAGTCCGACACTTTCACTGTCCTCCAATTTTTTCACCTCTGTGCACACTCAGTTTGGTTGTACCATCAAATCCGTGCAATGTGACAACGGTCGTGAATTTGACAACTCTGCGTCTCGTGCTTTCTTTCTTGCCAAAGGTGTTTCTCTTCGCATGTCATGCCCCTACACCTCGCAGCAAAATGACAAAGCCGAACGCATGCTTCGCACCACCAACAATGTCACCCGCACCCTGCTCTTCCAAGCATCCATGCCCCCTCCTACTGGGCCGATGCACTTGCTACTGCCACCCACCTCATAAATCGCCTGCCCACCAAAACGCTGCACATGAGCACTCCCTTCTTCGCACTCTATGGCACTCACCCTTCTTATCATGACCTTCGGACTTTCGGGTGCACCTGCTGCCCTAATCTCACTGCTACCACTCCTCACAAACTTGCCCCGCGCTCTTCTTTATGCGTTTTCATTGGCTACTCTCCCGATCGCAAGGGTTACAGGTGCCTCGACCTCGCCACAAACCGTGTCATCATCTCCCGCCACGTTGTTTTCGACGAAACAACGTTCCCTTTCTCACTTCGCCGGCCCTCACCGCCTACACACGAACTAGATTTTCTAACTGATGACGACCCTCCGTCAGTCCCTTTTCTCCCTGCAGGTACTCTTGGCGTTGCTGCCACCTAGCCAGCACCTGCACCTCTGCGGGCTCCCTCTCAGCCGATGTCTTCAGACACCCCGGCGCCGGGACCAGGCACACCAGCGTCCCGGTCTCCTCCACCCGGTTTCACCGTGCCCATGGTGCCTCCTCCACCGGCGCCCGCTGAACAGGCGCCCATGGCACCCCCTGTACAGGCACCCACGGGGCCCCCTGTACTGGCGCCCCTGGCTAACTCCTTCAGCAAGCAGCCCGTCGTCCACGTCTACACCCCGCGTGCCCCCGCACCCAGCTCGCCACCTACGTCCCCCGCTGGGGCTCCTCCTCGACGCTCCGGCATGATTCCCTCTCCACCGCGCTACGTCAAGAGTGGTCCTCCACTGCCAACAGGAGCGGTCTCCATCCCGCCACTCGCCAACTCTCATGGCATGGCGATCCGCGGGAAGTCCGGATACAAGCAGCCTCGCCTTGCTCTACACACCGAGGCTCTGTCCCCACTGTCGCGGTCCTGTCGTGACGCTCTTGCTAATCCGCACTGGCGTCGGGCCATGGAAGAAGAATTTGCTGCCCTCTTGGACAACCACACTTGGGATCTCGTTCCTCGGCCTGCCAAGGCAAATGTGGTCACCGGGAAATGGATCTTCAAACACAAATTTCATGCTGATGGCTCCTTGGACAGATACAAGGCTCGTTGGGTGCTCCGTGGGTTCACACAGCGCCCCGGAGTTGATTACGATGAGACTTTCAGTCCCGTCGTCAAGCCCGCTACCGTTCGCACCGTCCTCACTCTGGCTCACTCTCGGGACTGGCCGATCCATCAACTTGATGTGAAGAACGCTTTCCTTCACGGGACTTTGCCAGAAACGGTGTACTGCTCTCAGCCCTCTGGTTTTGCCGATCCAGCTCTTCCCGAACACGTCTACAGGCTCAACAAGTCCCTCTACGGCTTGAAGCAGGCACCGCGAGCATGGTACAGCCGGTTTGCTTATCTGCTATCTCTGGGTTTCATTGAAGCCAAGTCAGACACCTCCCTTTTCATCTATCACCGCAGCACCGAGACAGTCTACTTGCTCCTATATGTGGATGATATTGTTGTTACAGCCTCCTCTCAGCCGCTCTTATACCGGGTGATTGATGCACTGAAGAAGGAATTTGCCATGAAAGATCTTAGTTCCCTGCACCACTTTCTTGGCGTGGTAGTTCAGCGACAGAAGGACACTCTATTTCTCTCACAGCGTCAGTACACTCTGGACATTCTTGCTCGCCATGGCATGACCGACTGCAAGCCTTGTTCCACTCCTGTTGACACTTGTGCCAAAGTCTCTGCTGATGCCGGCCCCTCTGTTGATGATCCTATAGCATATCGCAGCCTTGTGGGTGCTCTCCAATACCTAACTTTCACCCGGCCCAACATCGCGTACGCCGTTCAACAAGTCTGCCTGCACATGCATGATCCCCGGGAAGTTCATCTTGTTGCTGCCAAGCGGATTCTTCGCTACCTTCAGGGCACTATCGGCTTTGGTCTTGTCATTCCCCGCTCTGCCCCGACTCAGCTCATCGTCTACATCGACGCTGACTGGGCTGGCTGCCCTGACACCCGCTGTTCCACCTCCGGCTATGCTGTCTTCCTCGGTGGCAGCCTCATCTCCTGGTCGTCCAAGCGCCAGCCCACTGTTTCACGGTCGAGCGCCGAGGCCGAATACCGTGCAGTTGCCAACGGCGTCGCCGAAGCCTCCTGGCTGCGGCAACTTCTGCAGGAGCTGCATCACCCTCTGGATTCTGCCTGCCTCGTCTACTGCGACAACGTCAGCGCCGTCTACCTCTCCACTAACCCCGTTTAGCATCAGCGTACCAAGCACGTGGAAATCGACCTTCACTTCGTCCGGGAACGGGTCACCCTTGGGGCTGTCCGTGTGCTTCACGTTCCCACCATGTCGCTGTTCGCCGATGTCTTCACCAAGGGCCTTCCTTCTTCTGTTTTTATAGATTTTCGCTCCAGTCTGAACGTTCGTTCTAACGACGTTCCGACTGCGGGGGGTGTTAGAGTATTTATTTCCTACCTGTATCATCTATCATTTACTCTGTATCGGCTGCCTCTTGGGTTTCTACCCAGTGTGCTGCCTAGGGACTCCCGGCATGTTTCCTGGGACTTCCCCCTCTTAACTCTCTAGCTTAGCCTCTCTCTATATATATGTAACCCTCTTGTAATCTCATCATTAAGTAATCCAAGCCTATTGGCCTTCTTCTAATACTAAGACCAGATTAGGTATCAACTTCCCATGCTTGGCTACAATGATGTTTTGATACCATTCATCTTGGGTCGAATGTGCCCTCTTAGTTATTTATAAATCAATCTGTAAGTGCAATTTGTCTAACTGATGCTTGGCTAGAAAGATGCTCTGAAGTGGCAAGCTTAAATGTACTCTATATATTAAATGGTTTATTGACCTTTTCACTATCCAATGGTTATTTGACAAGTGAAGCAAGTGTCCTAAACTTGCAGAGCTCATTGGTATTTTCTGCAGTTAGTATTAGTTATATCTCTCGGTGCTACTAAAAATATGTTTCTGTCTGAATCCTGCTGAATCCAGGTACTTCTTCTGAATGGATCACATGACAGAGAGACTGCTGGGCTGTCTGCCTCTGGCTTTGTCACTGCAATTACTGATTCTCTAAATCGGACATATGGTGATCCTCACAAAAGCTTAAAGAATCGTGTAAGTTTGTTCTATGTTCCGCTAAAAATTTACTGGAAGAATATGAAGCTATGGAAGAGTCAGATATTACAGTTTTGGGAATACAGGTGTCATTTTTCTGCTAAGATTCACTGTTGATTATTTCTCTGCCTTTGTGTGCAGCCCAATGACTATGTAAATGCTATATTGGTTCCAGAAGGAGGCCAAGTTCCTTTAGATATTGCAAATTTGGCAGCTCAGGGAATCTTTAATGTCGTAAGTATCTCTATTTTATTGGCTATGATTGTGCTTATTGATGTGAAAGAGGATGAGGAAATGTTCTTGTTTTCCCTACTATTTCCATTGTCCTGCATTTTAACTACCTCACACAACAGCGAGCTACTTTCCTAAGTCTTGTTTTGTCTAGGATGGTAACTCTTGAAGTTCCTGTTCATTCCTATTCGGGCCTCTCATTATGCAATCAAATGGTATTCTGTTTTTTGCCTGAATAAAAATATTTGATGCTGAATCGCAAAAGGCACACTGGGGTTGCCTTGAAGTTTTAGAAAATCCAGTCGAGCAAGCTTAGTTTTAAAATATGGTTTATAGATAAACAACATTAGTCTTGTACTACGTAAAAGATATTACAGAATCTTGTGTAAGACATTGTATTATTCTTGTCCTAGTGTTTCCGCACTATAACTTTTACTGAAACGTTTGTTTTTCGTATGCCAATCCATATTGTAGGTAACCGTGAAGTCTATTCATGACCCGAAAGTTGGCGTCATATTTGATGCACGGTCATTGATCCACGCCCTAACCATTCTCATATCTGAACATATGGATATGTGTCTCTCAGAACGTGGTCATCTAACTGAAAATGTAAAAGTTGTAAATTGAGCTTTCAAGTAAAAATTGAATGTATAGCCCCCCTTACCAATTTATTGTTTTACCAATCGATCCATAGTTTTAGTACTCATATTTGTATTTTAGCTAGCACTAGTGCTGCAATTCTCCGTGACTTGACATGATTAATGAAAAATGAGACATGTATTTTTCAATTTCTGTAATTTCGTTTCATTTCAATTCCTTTGCTCTGTGATGGTTACCTTTTTCCTGCATTGAAGCTTAAATAAAACCTCCAGAATTTGCCAAAAATATGAGAAAGACTAGCGCTTCCGGACATCCGGGCGTGCCCCACACGCCTTATGCGCTCCATGTGCATGCGGCAGGAAATAAGCGTAGTTGATGCACTTCTCTATATGCATGCGCCAACGGAAGGGTCCTTGTGCATGCGGTAGGACACGGCGAGGCGAAGGGACATATGCGGCCAACGGAAGGGACTCTTGGTAGGAAATGGCGTGGCGAAGGGCGCGATCGCGGCCAACGGAAGGGCAGCGTGCATCACGACTCGCCTCCCACCTTGCTTGGGTGGGCCCCACAGCGCATGCATGCAGCTCTTGCTCGCCCGCCGACCGCTTTGTTGTCGTCGACGCGTTCTTTCTTGCCGCACCTCCCGCCCGCTTTATGGAATACGCATACACTGCGCGCATGCATGTGGGGCCGCCGTGCCCGCTTTCGCTTCTCGAGCATCTGCTGGATCACTTACGCCCGAGGGGACCACCTTCGTCCATGCCCACATCTGGCGTCGGTCATGCAACACTTGCGGCATAAAAGCATTTGTTGCAACATACGCGTCAAAAGCAGATGAAATATTTACAAACGTACGCTTGCAACATATATGTATGACCAATGCAACATACATTTGAAACAACTAAAATATTTGAAATATACACTTGAAACATACGTGTATAGCCAGTGCAACATATGCAGCATCTAGATAAAACACTTGAAACATACGTTTGGAATAGCTAAAACATTTGAAACATACACTTGCAATATACGTTTATAGGCATTGCAACATATGCAACATTCAGATAAAACACTTAAAACATATGTTAGAAACAGCTGAAACATACACTTGTAACGTACGTGTATAGCCATTGCAACATATGCAATAAATATACTTTTGAAACATCTAGATAAAACATATGCAACATACATCTAAAACGCATGAAACATACGGTTGCAACATGTGCTCATCTACTTGTTGCCCTCCAATGAAGGTTCGTTGACGCGGAGCTCGAGGTCGCCCACGGTCGACACTCGACAGGCAGATAGATTGCGGCCACGGTAGGAGGCACGAGGCACGGGCGGCGCGAGGTACGGGCGAGGGTGCGTGGTGCGAGGCGCGGGGACAGGCGGGTCGGTCCGTCCTTAAAAGGACGGTAGCCCTGAGGTATCGTTATGGAAAAAATTATCGCTGTGCAAGTTTCAGCATTATTATATAAAGTAATTAAATTCGCTTCCCTTGCTGATGAACAAGTTATATGTACCTTTTTCACTTGCTTTGAAGACTAAAGCATCCGGAATTTGCCAAAAACTCTTGCCATGCAAGTTCATACATTTATATGCAAGTGACTAAATGTTTGATAAGTCAAAAAACTCGTAGGTTGGGTGTTATCATGGTTGTCAAAATTCAACAGAAAGAATAATTTTCCACTCAAGACATAAGAAAACTGAAATTATATAAATGGTAAAAAAAAGTCCTCTGTATTATTTGGAAGGCAATCCTATGCACATGAGCCTTCAATGGCCATGTTCGCTTATCTTATAATCTATCTTTTTTAGCTTGTTTTTTCAGCCGGAACAGTGTTTCGACTTGTTTTTTCAGCGAAGCGAACGGGGCCATTATCTCAGGAGTGACTTGCAAATTTTAGTGATCTAACAATTTTTAACGTTTATCATTTATGCATGTGCTGCTACTATGACCAAAAGAAGCCATAAGGTAGGAGGATGGTTATGTTTCACCTAAATAAAGGAATATTTATGGTCATAGATGAATACAAAGTGGTTGGAATACATCACAATTGGAGAATGTTAGCAGTTGACATATTGACATTTCATTGAAACTGTTTCTTTGGGAGGTTTGGATTCTTCATTTAGCTCTAACGGGACTGCGGGAGGGTTTTTTTGTGAGCTTCGCAGCAAGCCAGCGACCTCACTCTTAAGTGATCACAAGATTGGCTTGCGATTGAATACACTCTTATTGGCTTGTAGATAATAGTAGTGGACAGCCTGCGGTTTGTTTTTCTTTTAAAAATACATTCATGACATTCTAATATCACAATAATTTTCTTGATTGAATTGGATGCCGATCTAGTTTGCTTCAACAAATCTCAGAGTAAAAAATTGGGCGTGGGCATGGGTATGGTATTTGTTTAGCCAAGTAAGAGTGTGAGTTCCCAGAACAATCTTTTTTCGCAAGATTAAAAAACACATCTCCAACAACTCTTCATTTCACCGCCCAAACTTTTGGCACTTGAAAAAAAAAAAAATCCATCATCAGCGGATAAATACGCAAGCACATATCAATCACGCCAATCTAAGGTAAGGGGACGGGAAAGAATAAGTAGGACATGATTACGATACAAATGTACAAGAGAGAATGTATAAAAATGGTTAAGGTGATTTAGAAATAGTTCAGGATTTCTGACGTAAAATTACCTTCTTTTAGGAATGAGATTTTCTAAATTGTTGGAACAAATATGCTCCCAAGTTTTTTTAGTCACTTGAAAAACTCATTAGTTTACCAAGTGACAGTGATATTTTAGAAACTGTTGAAGATGTTACACGTTCAGCGTATTGCCAAAAAAAATAAAGAAATTGTTGGTTGGATGGATGGATTTGGGGCCAAACCGGACTGCGTGCGTGGATGCACGCTGCGGCCACGATCTGTTTGGATGTGTATAGCCATTGTAACATATGCAATAAATATACTTTTGAAATATCCAGATAAAACATATGCAACATACATTTAAAACGCATAAAACATACGGTTGCAACATGTGCTCATCTACTTGTTGCCATCCAATGAAGGCTCGTTGACGCGGAGCTCGAGGTCGCCCACGGTCGACACTCGACAGGCAGATAGATTGCGGCCACGGTAGGAGGCACGAGGCACGGGCGACGCGAGGTACGGGCGAGGGTGCGCGGTGCGGGGACAGGCGGGTCGGTCCGTCCTTAAAAGGACGGTAGCCCTGAGGTATCGTTATGGAAAAAATTATCGCTGTGCAAGTTTCAGCATTATTATATAAAGTAATTAAATTCGCTTCCCTTGCTGATGAACAAGTTATATGTACCTTTTTCACTTGCTTTGAAGACTAAAGCATCCGGAATTTGCCAAAAACTCTTGCCATGCAAGTTCATGCATTTATATGCAAGTGACTAAATGTTTGATAAGTCAAAAAACTCGTAGGTTGGGTGTTATCATGGTTGTCAAAATTCAACAGAAAGAATAATTTTCCACTCAAGACATAAGAAAACTGAAATTATATAAATGGTAAAAAAAAGTCCTCTGTATTATTTGGAAGGCAATCCTATGCACATGAGCCTTCAATGGCCATGTTCGCTTATCTTATAATCTATCTTTTTTAGCTTGTTTTTTCAGCCGGAACAGTGTTTCGACTTGTTTTTTCAGCGAAGCGAACGGGGCCATTATCTCAGGAGTGACTTGCAAATTTTAGTGATCTAACAATTTTTAACGTTTATCATTTATGCATGTGCTGCTACTATGACCAAAAGAAGCCATAAGGTAGGAGGATGGTTATGTTTCACCTAAATAAAGGAATATTTATGGTCATAGATGAATACAAAGTGGTTGGAATACATCACAATTGGAGAATGTTAGCAGTTGACATATTGACATTTCATTGAAACTGTTTCTTTGGGAGGTTTGGATTCTTCATTTAGCTCTAACGGGACTGCGGGAGGGTTTTTTTGTGAGCTTCGCAGCAAGCCAGCAACCTCACTCTTAAGTGATCACAAGATTGGCTTGCGATTGAATACACTCTTATTGGCTTGTAGATAATAGTAGTGGACAGCCTGCGGTTTGTTTTTCTTTTAAAAATACATTCATGACATTCTAATATCACAATAATTTTCTTGATTGAATTGGATGCCGATCTAGTTTGCTTCAACAAATCTCAGAGTAAAAAATTGGGCGTGGGCATGGGTATAGTATTTGTTTAGCCAAGTAAGAGTGTGAGTTCCCACAACAATCTTTTTCACAAGATTAAAAAAACACATCTCCAACAACTCTTAATTTCACCACCCAAACTTTTGGCACTTGAAAAAAAATCCATCGCGCGGATAAATACGCGCACATATCAATCACGCCGATCTAAGGTGGCAGGACGTGGGAAAGAATAAGAAGTAGGACATGATTCTGATACAAATGTACAAGAGAGAATGTATAAAAATGGTTAAGGTGATTTAGAAATAGTTCAGGATTTCTGACGTAAAATTACCTTCTTTTAGGAATGAGATTTTCTAAATTGTTGGAACAAATATGCTCCCAAGTTTTTTTTAGTCACTTGAAAAACTGATTAGTTTACCAAGTGATAGTGATATTTTAGAAACTGTTGAAGATGTAACACGTTCAGCGTATTGCCAAAAAAATAAAGAAATTGTTGGTTGGATGGATGGATTTGGGGCCAAACCGGACTGCGTGCGTGGATGCACGCTGCGGCCACGATCTGTTTGGCGACCTGGCAACGAGTTCGTTGAGGACACGGCGGTGCAGCAGCAGCCGTCGCCAGTCGCATCGGGGCGGCGGCAGCCTGCAGCACTATCAAAGGTCTGGAAGACCAGAACCTGCATTGCTGTCCCCCAAAAAAACAATGACCAGCGCTCGCGGTGCTGTTGCTGAAGTTTTGATAGCCAAGCCAACGCATCTGCATCGCAAGAATGACCAAGCGCGCATGGAAATGAACTGGGAATGCTGATAGCAACTGCATGCTTATTGGCTCATGCGGTAGGAAAACATCTCTAGTAGGAGCAGTTTTCTAAAATTGAGGAGCCATAACCAATCTCTACTGTTCAGGTACCAGGTGAAAGTAACTCTTACCGGAATTACATCAGTAGCCAACATACACTGCAGCGTTGACTATGTAGCAGTCATCGTTCTTATCCCCCATTGCTTCCAGGCACACGCCGCTTGAACAGATCATGCCCCCGTCAACGACCTCGAAGCTGATTATCTTGCCGCTGCAAAAAGATCGAGGAAACGGCACATGAGATCCAGACACAAAGACGCACATATCATTACGCAGCAATGCACATTTTATCAGGGCACGCCTTTGAAACGATACTACTATGGGTACTACTATGAATCTGATTTAGAACTGGATAGTATGGACAAGCTCCAGGCCGCAGCTCACCGCCAACTACTCCGGCAACAACCAAGTCAAAATCGATTCGTTCTCTCCCCTCACGTTTATAGCGATTACAGCTGTTGTCTCACAGCGTACACCAGCGCAGCTGGGCTTGGACTCATTTACGCCATTCTGGGCCGGATACTCTTGGATTGGGCTTCCTTGGCCTCTTGCTCGTGGGCGCCTTCCTTGATGCTGGGCCGGACTCCATGTCCATAACATCCCATACCATGACATTCCCCCCTCCTTGAAGCACGGCTTGTCCTCAAGCCGTTGTCGAAGACGGATTCTAAGAGCTCAAGCCAAAATTCACTCATTATGTAGATCTTAGGGGTTCTCAGATGCACAAAAGTGTCAGGTTGACTGAATGGGAACAAAATCCAAAATCTGCGTTATAGTTGCAGTTCTTTTGATTCTTCAATGATTGTCTCAGTTACCTCAAGTAGATTGAGCTGTTGCTGCCTCCAGCAGACTGCAGTACAATGAAGTCGTAGCAGTTTCTGGCGAAGAGCCGCCAGGAGATATAAATAAGAATCATCATACTGACATTTGATAAACCTGAAAGCACTCAGCTGTATTTGTACCGATGTAATAGCTGCAGCATATTTGGTGTCATGAGCAGTGCAATATGTGTCAACAGAATCTTTGAACACTGTGAAAATCCCAAGCCAAAGCAATAGTGTGACACTTTCATGCACAAAATGACCTCTAGGATGTGTCAAGACAACAAGGTCCCGATAAAATTTAGGCTCTTTCTCTAGATCAAGCTGGTCACAGCCCCATGCACACTTAGAACCATTTGTGTATATGATCAGAGACTGACCAAACTGACCACCTGTGTATACCAACACTTGAATCACTAGCACTGAAGGAGTACGACTGTCACAAGATATATAAGTTGAATACACTGTCTTAAGTGCATATACTGCCTCAGTACAACCCATAACTCTCAAACAAGCAACACAACACATGCCAGATTCAGAATAAAGTTCGGCATTGTTAGTCGTTGAGCTCTCACTCTCGGTAGTAGCAGAATTCTTACTCTCATCGAGAGAGGATGACACTAGGAGTTGGGGTAATTTTCTGGTTTATTTCTCACACAAACTCACACAAATGCCATGCCAACCTGAGGGGTTGGGGATACATATTTATAGGCTGCTAGCCAGCCAAGCATATGCCAAGATGCTAGTCTAAGATGCTGTCCTAGATGCTAAGATGCTGTCCTAGCCAGTCAAGGATACTGTCCTTGTGGCAGCCCCCGATCCTTGTGGCGAAGTGATAAAGACAATGACTAGCAGACCTCACAAAGACCAGACCAGCCAACACAACACGAGACTTATCTATCATTCTCCCCCTAAGTCTTGTGCATCGTCTTGTGAGGAAGTTGAACCATCCCGGTCCTGGAGCAGAGCTCAAGGAACTTGATCCTCCCAAGGGGCTTGGTGAGCAGGTCCGCAAGCTGGTCCTTGGTGTTGATGTAGCTCGCCTTGATGCTCCCTTCCTCAAAACAGCCTCGGATGAAGTGGTACCTCACCCGAATGTGCTTGCTGCGTTCGTGGAAGACGGGGTTCTTTGCCAGGGCCAGAGCGAACTTGCTATCCACCCTGAGCTCCACCGCTCTAGTGTCTCTGCCGAGGAGATCACCAAGCAGTCGAACGAGCCAGAGCGCCTGAGTCGAAGCGGTGGAGACCGCTATGTACTCGGCCTCGCATGACTAGACAGGGCCACCACCACTTTGCTTGACCGACCGCCCGCCTAACGAGGCACTTGTCGAGGAAGAAGAGGATCCTACCGTGCTCTTCTTTGGTGTCGATGTCGTCGGCCGGTAGTCGTCGTTGTCATTGCATGCCGACGAAGTGTGCCACCCAGGGGCACCTAGGGTAGTAGAAGCCGTGGTCGAAGCCGCCCCGCAACGTAGCGGATGATCCTCTTCACTGACTTCTTTGGTGCTCTGTTGTCGGTCATTGCATGAACCGACTAACGAGCCGACGGAGAATGCCAGTCCGTGCAGTGTGTGGGCGAGGTAGCGAAGGCTCCCCACAAGACGCCGTTATTGCAGAAGCGCCCACCTCCTCTCCGCCCGCGGTTGTCGCGGCTGAGCTTCACCTCTCCTCCATCGGAGTGAGAGCTGGTTTGCGATCGGTGAGCCCGGCTAGCTCAACAACGCGCTTGGCGTGGCGGTCCGTCAAGCGTGATCCCGAGTCATCCTGGTGCACCTCGATCCCGGTAGAAGAGAGAGGTCCTGTGTCACTCATCTGGAAGGTGGCCTTCATCTCTTCCTTGAATGCCGCCACCTCCGCATCCTTGGTGCCGGTGATCACCAAGTCGTCGACGTAGACACCCACAAGCGAGCATTTCCTCCACCGCCCGTCGGTAGATGGTCGCCTCGCGCGGGCTTTGCTCAAGCCCATCCCTTTAGCGTGGAATCCCGATTTTGGCATTCCACCCCCTCGAGCTCCGCCGCAAGCTATAGAGGGTCTTTGCGCAGTGAGCACCTGCCCTCCTTATCGGGGATCACAAATCCCCGGTGGTGGTGCACGAGACCTCCTCCTTCAAGTCGCCGTTAAGGAACGCCGACTTGGCGTCCATGTGATGAACACGCCACCCTCCGGCGGCTTAAAGAAGGAGTCACACGGACTCCATCCGTGCCACGGAGCAAAGCGTCGTCGAAGTCGACCCCTCCTCGCCGCACGAAGCCTCGTGCCACCAAGCGAGCCTTGTGCTTGAGCGATGGCACCGGCTTCATCCTCTTCACTTGTACACCCACTTAAGGGGGTGATCGCGCGGTGACCACGAGGAAGGTCGGCCAAGCTCCCGGTGCGGTTCTTCTCAACCGCATCCATCTCTAATCGCATCGCGGCAGCGCGCCATGCCGCGTGTCTCTCGGCCTCTGCAAAACGACCGAGGTTCGCCGTCGTCGTCACGCAAGGTGCAATCGCGCCTCAGTCGTGAGGCACCGGTCCTAGCACTTACCGGTGGTCGCCGAGAAGGTTCTCCAACAGTCTGGTACCGCAACGGCTCGCCGTCGTGGTATGATGTCGACGCGCTCCTCGTCGTGAGAGAGAGCGAGTAGCGAAGCTCAACCGGGCCGTGCTCGACACGAGTGGTGGTGGGGTAGACGTGCCGGAGTGGTGCTGTCGGTCTTTGGAGTGCGTGGCGTTGCGGCTATGGTGGAGCTGGCGAAGAACTCATCGCACCGAGGTCCTGGTGGAGAGCGTGTTGTTGTCCGGAGTAGAAAGCGCCGGGTCGGTGGAGGCTCGGGGATTGGGGTAGACGCGCTTCGAAGAAGAAGAGCCGCCTACTCCCCCCAGCTCCCTTGAAGTGGGACGTACTCGACGGTGAAGTTGTCGTGACGTCGAGCCGAGCCGTCGTCCACCGCCTTGTCCCCACGCCCATCTCGCTTTTTCGTCGAACACAACGTCGCGCGCGCCAGGCGCACGCGCCGCGTGTCTTGGTCGAGGATGTGGTAGGCTTTCGAGCCCCGCGCGTAGCCGATGAACACTCCCCGAGTGCTCCTGCCGTCGAGCTTGCCGATGTGGCCGAGCTCCTTGGCGAACGCGAGGCGTACCAAGACCCGCAAGTGGGGAGACCGTCGGCTTACGCCCATGCCAAGCCTCGTCAGACGACGTCCCCGCTGCCGAAGCGCCTTTGGTAGGCGAAGCGGTTGAGGATGTAGATGGCCGTCACCACCGCCTCTCCGAAGAGGCGGCCGGCATCCCCTCGCTTGAGGGGCCCGAGCCATCCCCATAACCGTTTGATTATGCGCTCGACGACGCGCCGTTCACTTGCGGGTACAGACGGTAGCGAGTAGTAATCTTGATGCCCTCGTCAACAAGAAGACGATGCGAATTCGGCCGCTGTGAATTCGCCGCCGTTTGTCGGTCGCAAGAAGACGCGCAGCGTTTATGCGGCCGCTCGCCCGCCCATGACTGCTGCAGCGTGCCGATGGCGTCCGCGACCATTCCCTAACGCCGAGGACCATCACCCACATGTAGCGGGAGAGGTCGCCGACGAGCAATAGGAAGTAGCGTCGTCTCCGGTGTGGCGGTGTCACGAAGCCACACAAGTCCCCATGCACAAGATCGAGCCTCTCCTTGGCTCGAAAGCTCGCCCATTGGAGAAAGGGAGTCGTCGACCGCTTCATCAACACGCATACGTCGCAGAGCTGCTCCACATGGTCGAGGCACGACAGACCTCGCACCATCTCCGTGGCACTGAGCCGCTTCAGGGCCTCAAAGTGAAGGTGCCCGAAACGCTCGTGCCACTGCCACTCCTCGTCGTCCCGATGAGCAGCGAGACAGAGGGTTGTGCCACCGCACATTAATGACGTAGAGTCGACGGCGCTTCGGATACCTTGGCAAGAAGGCGACGACGACGATCCCAAATCCTCATGACTCCGTCCTCAACCACCACGCGCGAACCGTTCTCATCCAGCTGTCCCAAGTTGATGATGGAGTTCCTCAACGCGGGGATGTAGTAGACTCCGGTGAGCAGCCTGTGCTCACCAGACACGGCGGTGAAGATGACGGAGCCGACGCCCTTGATCTCCACGCCGGAGGCATCCCCAAACTTGACGGAGTCAAGCTCGGTGAAGAACTCCCGTCGACCGGTCATGTGATGGGTGGCGCCGGTGTCGAGGCACCACCCGTCAGTCTTGTCGTTGCCGGAGCTGTCGCCGAGGAGGGCGTGTGCTTTTGGCTCGTCAAGATGGAGGAGAGCCGCTGCGGCCAGTGCCGCTGGAGGTAGCTCGATGCTTGCATGTGCCATGAACAGAGCCGGCTCCTCCTCCGCCTGTGCGACATGGGCCTGGCCGCGTCGTGGCTGTCGGCAATCCTTGGCCCAATGGCTAAGCTGGCCGCAGTTGTGGCAGGCGTCGTCTCATGCCGGCTTGTGCCTACCGGCGGCGCCGCCCTGAGCGCCTCCGCGGGCATCACCCTCGGCATGTCCTCGCGCCCCGGCCTGGGCGTCTCTGCGCGCCTTGCGTGGCTTGCCACGCTTGCGACCGCCTGTCGCGGAAGAAGGCTCCCCCTTCTTCCGGTCACCTTGGCTGGCAAGCCACTGCTCCTGAGTGAGAAGGAGCTTCCCGCCAGTGGTGATGGGCCCCGAGAGATTGTGGCTCATCGTTGTCGACGACCTTGAGGCGACCTATCGCCTCTCGATCGACATCGTGGAGAGATCCAGCAGAACTCGATCGAGCGAGCCATCCGCTTGTACTTCTCGGGGCGAGCGAAAAGAGCTTTTCGACGGCTCTCTCCTCGCCGAGGTGTCATCGCCGAACTGCACCATCTTACGCAAATGAGTGTTGAGGCGGAGAGCAAAGTCATCAACGTCCTCACCGCTTGAAGGCGAGTTCTCCCACTCCTTGCGAAGTGCTCGCGGTGTGGACTTGCGAACGCTGATCATCGCTGCCGCGCGTGCGTGGCGATGGCGCCCCAAGCCTCCTTGGCGATCCGCTTGTTGGTAAGCGAAGCGCATCTCGGCGCGGATCTGCGGCGATGAGGGCATCCGGCGCCCGTCGATCTAGGTCGTAGTCGACGTCGCCGCATCGGACCCGCCTCCCACATGTGCCACACCGGAGCTTTACCCTCATCACCGCAACCCACTCGGCGTAGTTGGTCTTGGTGAGGTAGGCCACCCACCGCCGGACCGACGCGTCCACGACAACGACTGGAGCCCGTGGTAACCACGGTACCGATCCGGGGAGAGAGTCACGCGCCTGTGAAGGCCGTGCTCTCCGTCGACCGTCGGTACCGATCCGGGAGAGAGCCACGCCGCGCTGTGAAGGCGCGCTCTCCATCGACCCGCCCGCCACCGCTGTTGCGGCGCGCTCCACCGAGAGCGCCACGCGCGCGTGCCGCCTGCTGCCGCCGCCGCCGCCGTGGCGTCGCGCGCTGCCCAGAGCGCCACCGCCATGCGCGCCTCCTCCGAGCGCCGCCACGCCGTGGCGGCGCGCGCGTCGCTTACTACGCCGCCGCCAAGGCCGCCTCCTCTCTCTAGTAGCTTCGAGGTCCGCGTCGGTGGTGTCGCGGCCGAAATGGAGCGCCGATGCTTTGCCAGAGCCTCGACCTCCGCCGCCAAGACGCGCTACATTCGCCGCCGCCGCCGCTTCCACCTCCGCCATTGCTGCCGGCTCGCCATTGCCGCCACCTCGACGCGCTTTGACGCCGCGGCAATGGTTTGCCGCCGCTCACTCGCGTTCTCTGCAGAGCAAGTTCGGCCTCTGCCGACGCCACAGGCTCGAGGCGACCGAAGGCCGAGATCGCCTCTGGGACATAACGCGCTGGGGGTTCTGGGTTGCTGGGGAGAGGGGTCAGCTTGCAGAGCGAGGAGAGAGGAGTGAGGGCGGCCGAGGAGAGCTTGCCGCCAACAACAATGGGTTGAAATTTGGGAGGGAGATGAGCGGGGAGATGCTCACTACAAGATAGTACTGGCTCGGATACCGGTTGTTAGTCGTTGAACTCTCACTCTCGGTAGTAGCAGAATTCTTACTCTCATCGAGAGAGGATGATACTAGGAGTTGGGGCAATTTTCTGGTTTATTTCTCACACAAACTCACACAAATGCCATGCCAACCTGAGGGGTTTGGGATACATATTTATAGGCTGCTAGCCAGCCAAGCAATATGCCAAGATGCTAGTCTAAGATGCTAGTCTAAGATACTAAGATGCTGTCCTCTAGATGCTAGTCTAAGATGCTGTCCTAGATGCTAAGATGCTGTCCTAGCCAGTCAAAGATGTTGTTCTTGTGGCAGCACAGCAACAGCCAGCAGCCCCACAATCCTTGTGGCAGCAGTACAGCAACAACTAGCAGCCCCACAAAGACCAGACCAGCCAACACAACACAGAGACTTATCCATCAGGCATAACTCCAAGAAATTGTGCCATGAGTGATTGCTCGACTTTCTATAGTGGGATATTAGCAAAATTCAGAAGCAATGGCCAAACCCAATTCAGAGATTCCTTGATGTTTGCAACCAAAATTAACTCCACATTTTCCTTATAAGAAGACAGCAGCCACTCAAGCATAAACAACTAATATGCACTCATATTAGTCCAGAGTAGCCATAGATTAAGCTGTGCTATTAACCATCCACTTTGAATGATTTCAGAGGCCATCTGACTTGCAAGTACCATAAAGCCAATAGCATATTTCAGCAGCTGGCAATGCCCATGACTTAAGTTGCCCTCCTTCAAATCAAGCTGTGCATAGGTCCCTTCTAGCTGAAAAGTGTAACTGCTAACCAAGTGCTTGCATAATCTGAGAGCAGCCAGAGCATTAGGCTTGTACAGTCTAGAAATAACTCTGTAATTTTCTGCAGCAAGTATCTCAGTGAAAAGCCAAATCTGAGAAAAAATTGACAGAAATAGATCAACAGCTTCTTTTCTGTTGCCCTCGTCAGCATGTGCAGCACTTTGAAGAAACTGAAACCACTGCAGCTTGTGAGGTGAATGAGATGGATGAAAACCCAGATTGAGAGTGTGCCAGGGTGAGGACTCAAGCAGAAATCCATCAGTCAAAAGCGTCTTCTCGGACCATGATCTAGCCAAATCAATAAACTGAAACTATGGAGGCTTTGACATCTTACTACCTTGCTGAGGCCTGACATTGCGAGTACTGGGTGGATTGCTAGAGGCCATGAACATATCTAGCAGGTGACTGTGCAGCACATCTGTAGTTTGGAGATCATCACATGCTACAAATTCAACAATGATGTTGCTGGTGTCGGTAGAGTAGCAGCCACTGAACCATACTGTTGTCACCTTGGCATATTCATATATGTCTTTGGCAGCCAAATCAGAAACAGTAAAACCATGAAACATTATCTCCAACGCCTTGTTGGCATCAAGGGATTCAATGCCCAAACACAACCAGACAGAACCAACTGTTGGGAATAACACCGGATACCTGACGTGCAAGGTCTGCAGGTGTTCGCTCCAGGTGATTTGGGTGTCGGTAGCAATGTTGTAAGGTGGGATGACAGACACCGGAACACAGGCGATGTCGTAGAGACCCAGCGTCGAGCACCTGGTGGGCGAGGCATAGAGAAGCTCGGTGGTGCCAAACTGGAAGACAAGAGTCGCTTCCTGGATTGAAGTGGAGGTTAGGGAAGGGGTGGGTGAGGCCGAGGCGGCCGTCACCAGGGTGCTGGTGGTGGGGTGGTTACCCGGGACGGCGTTGCGTGCATTGGCGTCGTAGATGACCCGCGCCCCACGCTGCACGGCGAAGAGGTTTGCCGCAACCTTGTGCGCCAGGTCCCGAGCTGGAAGTAAATCAACGGAGCAGAAGCCGAAGCGGGCCTGGGCGGTGAGTTCGCTGGGCACGGCCCCCTCAAAGCGGTGGAAGTCGTCTAAGGCGAGGAGCGGGGTAGCGCGCCAGATGGGGCTCCAGCGGCGGGAGAGCACCGCTGTGCGTGCGGCGTCCTTGATGGGGAGGCGAGAGACGATGTCGCGTAGGAGCGAGTCGGGGAGGCGTCTGAGGCGGTCGACGCCCCCGCCGTCGGCGTCGAAGAGGATGCCGAGGTGGCCGTCGATGGAGACGGGCGGGTCAGGGAGCTCGGTGAAGCCCGACTAGAAGCCGGAATCCGCGTCCATCGCGGAGGCCGTTGATGGCGTGCTGTTGGGGAAGCCCACCGACGCACGGACTCCTCGCTCCTGGTCCTCCCCGCTGCCAGCGATGTGGGTGGGGATCGATGGAGGGGATGAAGGAGTCGGTGGCCCAGCGCGGATCCCCAATAGGGTGTTCACCTCCTCCAGCTTGGCTAGGATCTCGGCCAACATCACTTCCGTCGTCATGGTGGTAGACGAACTCCTCAAACAATGGTGGTGTGGCTCCCGGAATCGAACTGAAGCTGATACCAGATGTAACGATACTACTATGGGTACTACTATGAATCTGATTTAGAACTGGATAGTATGGAGTTTACAAGCTCCGGTGGGCAAAGTTGCCGCCGGCCAACTACTCCGGCAACAACCAAGTCAAAATCGATTCGTTCTCTCCCCTCACGGTTATAGCGATTACAGCTGTTGTCTCATAGCGTACACCAGCGCAGCGGGGTTTGGACTCATTTACGCCATTCTGGGCCGGATACTCTTGGATTGGGCTTCCTTGGCCTCTTGCTCGTGGGCGCCTTCCTTGATGCTGGGCTGGACTCCACGTCCATAACATCCCATACCATGACAGCCTTGTATCAGTGTCCACCACCCACGAGTAGCCTAACTTGGCCCCCAAAAGGATCTACCGCCAGCTTGCAGCATTGATATTGGTCATTCTAACAAAATATATTCCACTGAATTTGAGAAGATGCCTGCTTAATTTTCGTTAGTGATACTTGTACTGCCAAATACCATCTAGTCCATGATACTCGATTTTGATCAGGTTTTTACATTGTCAATCTGTGTTGACAATCATGTTGAATGCCTACTGAATAATTAGTATACTGAAAGGTGTAGTCTTCAACATGAAAACTGCATGTAACCCTGGGCAAAAATAACCGAAAAACCGAGAACCGAACCGAAATAACCGTAACCGAAACCGAAAATTTCGGTTCCTAGTTCGGTTCCCAGTTCTCAGGAACCGAAATAATGTCGGGTAATTCGGTTCCAGACCTCGGTTAACCGAACAAAACCGAAGAACCGACTTAAAAGGCTCGCCTCGGTTTATATCCCAAGGCCCAAACAGGCCCAGGCGAGGCCCGATAACGTATTCAAGTATAAATACAGAACCTTTAGGGTTTCTTGACTCCTCTCTCTCTCTCTCACCGCACGCCTCCCTCTCCCACCGAGCCGCCTCTCCCTTCGCGAGATCGAGACCAAGCGCGCCTCTCTCGGTCTCTCCGCTCCGTCCTCCCTCTCCCTCTCTGGCCTCCCTCTCTTTCTCTCCCTCTCCCTCTCCCTCTCCATTTCTAGAGACTGGGGCGCGTCCCCTTCTGGCAGCTACGCGACGCGGGGGGCGTGGCCCCTCCTCCGGCGACTGCGCGACGCGCGGGGCATGTCACCTCCTCCAGCGACGGCACGGCGCGGGGTGCGCGGCCCCTCCTTCAACGACGGAGGCACGGCGGGCGGCCCCTCCCACACCCCGAAGCACCTCCACCACCGTCCCATGGCTGGATCCAGTGGATGGCGACCAGATCTATGGTGGGCCCGCCCCCGGTGGTGGATCTGGGCCCGGCGCGCTTCCCGACAGCGGATCCACCGCCTCCCTATCCCGTCCTCCTCCTCGCCGCGATGATGTTGCGCTCTGGAGGTCGAGGCCGAAGTCCGTGCGTGCTCGCCGCCTGGAGGCCGGATTCGACGACGAAAGGCGCTCGCCGCCGCTTTTTTTTCTTCATTTTTCCCCTTTTCTTCCCTTCTGTTTCGCTAATGTAATGTATGGCTCGGTTAGTTCGGTTCTAACCAAAATCGAACCGAACTAACCGAGACCGAATTTCCTCGGTTCCAAGTTCTCTAGCTAACCGATCGGTTTTAAGTTTTGTGCTAACCGGATTTCGTAAATAACCGAGGAACCGAACAGATCGGTTTCGGTTAACCGAATGCCCACCATAGACTGCATGAGTACCGGCCGCAATTTCAAATGATACAACATTCTTTCACAATGATTCAACTAAATATAACTTTTCATAAGATATAACACCCACATACACGTACGTATTATGAATTCACATAAATTATTTCTTTTACAAACTTGACAGTCATCTTATATAAAATTACATGGTATGGCTATTAAACATTCCACAACCCAATGCACAGTAATAAAATGAACTAATCTGCCATGATATTTGATGGAAGGCTAGGACGCTTGTCTCTTCTCACTAGTTGGTACAAAAAATATTATAGTATCAATGATGTGCAAGATATTGTTTTTACTGAAAAAGGACGTACTTAGTCCTTATTTTTTTAGACAGACTTACCCTTTGTTTGTGGACCCAGAGAAATTGTAGTGTTGAAGATTCCAACACCATCCTTTAGTATAATACTGACCACACATTCTTTGCTGTCCTATTTGAAGTATTTGCCAGCCTTAGGTGGTGTGATGGCTCAAATGGATATTTACTAAATTATGATACCTTAAAAGGAAGGAAGAGGGAGATGTGAGTTTGGAAGGTCAAGTAGTGCCTAAGAAGGATACCTTTCGGTATCTGGGATCGATGCTACAAAGGGATGGAGATATTGATGCGGACGTTAGCCATAGAACCAAAGCAGGGTGGATTAAGTGGCGACAAGCTTCTGGTATTCTCTGTGACAAGAGGGTACCACAAAAGCTAAAAGGCAAGTTTTATAGAACGACGATTAGACCGGCTATGTTGTATGAAGGAGAATGTTGGCTTACAAAGATTCGACATGTTCAACAACTAAGTGTTGCAGAAATGCGTATATTGCGATGGATATGTGGTCACACAAGAATGGACCGAGTTCGGAACGATGATATACGTGATCGCCTAGGGGTAACACCAATTGAAGAAAAGCTTGTCCAACATCGGTTGAGGTGATTTGGCCATGTCCAAAAGAGACCTCCAGAGGCACCAGTGCATTGTGGAGTCCTAAGCCAAGCTAATAATATGAGGAGAGGTAGAGGAAGACCGAAATTGACATGGGAGGAGGCAATAAAAAGAGATTTGAAAGCTTGGGATATACCTAGAGATCTATGTTTGAATAGGACTGCTTGGAAAGTAGCTATTGAAGTGCCTGAACCGTGACTTGGAGCTTTTGGTGGGTTTCAACTCTAGCCTACCCCAACTTGCTTGGGACTGAAAGGCTATGTTGTTGTTGTATTCTCATTTGTGATGTTGATGCTGACTCAATGGACTCTTAAAAGAAACATGTCGTACAAGCTTGACCAAAGCAGGAAAATCAGGTGTTTCTAGGGTCTGTTTGGCTCCTTACCGCATGCCAAGCTTTGGCCATGCCATAAGTTCGGCGCATGAAAACAGCACCACACTTTAGGCGAGCTACGACATGCAAAATGAACTACTGGCACGTAAGAAGCGTGTGCCATACCGCAACTTCCATCATGAACCAAACATCAGATAATGTTAGGCGAAATGAGGCGTGGCGACATCTGGTAATGGACCGAAAACAGCCATAAGCTCCACCCAGGTTACTAAGGGAAATGAGGCCAGAGAAAGGAATATTATTCTGTCACATAGGTCAAGGAGCTAGTATAGGGTTGTCCATGAATATGGAATCTCTAATCAAAGCCCACAACTGCCTAAACTAAACCATTGGTATTGTGGTCTCTGTGCCAAGACATTCTGTGGAATCTCAACTGATGAGGACCACTCTAACAAATTTCCGTACTGTCATGACTTATGAGCACCACAGCGAGAAAAGTTTTTCTATGTAGATCAATGAGTAGGGGTCCTCATGCAATTGTGCTAAGAAAACATCCTTGTCTTAGGCTCATACATTCTGCAAGTGATGACTTCTGTGACTATATCAGAGGCCAAGTATAAAACAGGGTTGCAAATTTAGAGCCCTATTTGTGCTCCCCAACCACTGATGTATGCTCATGAAATCATCATCTCAGATTCTCAGCAATTACCAGGGCACTAAAAATATCTACTTCATTGTGAACTGCAACCCATCACACCATTGCACTGTAACTGTCCGGCACTTGGATGCTAAATTTCAAAGTTGTAACAGGCACCACGGAAGAAACGAGGGAGGGAGAGAGGGAATGCTCACTAGGGGAAGACGGCCTTGACTCTCTCAGCATCCAGCAAGTGCTGCGTCGACCTCGGCACCCCGAGCTTGATCTGCAGCTTCATCTGGTCGGTGTTCACTCCGGGAATGGACCCTGCAGCAGGCGCAGCCCACAACCAAAACAACCCAGTTCAGCATCTCCTGCCGTGCCGTCAACATGTTCGACGGAATGCCCAACAGGCAGGGGACAGCGGTCGGCGAATTTGTTCCGTACCGCCACGGAAGGCGGGGATGGAGTTGGAGGTGATGGCGTCCTTGCAGGCGCGCACGGCGGCGGCGGTGATGTCCTGGCCGTGCTGATCGTAGCCGACGCCCATCTCCACGAACAGCAGCTTCATGGCCGGCTCCTCCACCCCTCCCTGGGCGTCGCTCGCCTGGGGCTGGGCGACCTCCATCCGAGAGGACGCCGGCGCGGCCGCTGGATTATTAGGGTTCGGAGATGGGGTGCGGAGGTGGGGGCGGGAGTGAGTGTGAGACGGTCGGGAGGAGGACGACGGGAGCGGTGGCGTGCTTGGTCTGGTCGGGAAGAGGAGGCTGCTGGGGAACGGTGCTGCTGACGCCATCTTCTTTGGCTTCCTAGTTTAGACCTGCTAGTAGTGGAATAGTGAGTGTTGCAAAGGTTCAGAGGTCAGCAGTGTCCGGGGTCTAAACCGTCGAAACTAAACACAGTCGATTGACATCTTGACAAAAAGGTTCTTCGAAATATGCGACCGGGTGTAACTTTTTTTTAATGACTCTTTTCTCCGCATGATAAAATATGTCTAATTAAAAAACCTGCACATATACATCGATGGTTACCACGCATAGGTCTGGTCTGGCCGACCGGTGTGCCTAGAAAAGCACAGTGCAGGCTTTTGCTCGGTTCCGGCGCAATGCTGTTTGGGTGCCTCTTCTAAATTTTTTAGTTGTTGTTCCATTAAATATTTAGATATATATATATAGTATTAAATATAGACTAATTACGAAACTAATTGTATAGTTTGTGACTAATTTATGAGATGAATCTTTTAAGTCTAATTAGTTCATGATTTGATAATATGGTGCTACAGTAAATATGTGCTAATGATGAATTAATTAGACTTAAAAAATTCGTCTCGAGGAGTACTGACGATTATGTAATTTATTTTTTTATTAGTATCCGAACACCATATGCAACATCCTCCCCACACATTCCTAAATTTTTATCACTGGATCCAAACATCACATTAGCATCGGCTCCGGCACACAACTACAGTCACAGTGCTTTTGCTCGGCTCCTGCGCACGGCTTCCTAATCTTAGCATCAGCTTCGACACACAACCACAGTCCACTACCGGTGGCGGCTTCTTTGCAGAGTGCCTCAGGCACTCGGCAAAGACCGATATACACTTGGCAAAGGGCGCTCGGTAAACAGTTTATCGACAAAACCCTCTTTGCCGAGTGCACTTTATCGGGCACTCGGCAAAGGCTTTGCCAAGTGCTAATATGACACTTGGCAAAGAAAAGTTGCCGTGACGGCGAGAGCCACCGTGACGGCGGCTTTGCCGAGTGTCAAGGTCAAGCACTCGGCAAAGGTCGCCGCTTTGCCGAGCGCCGTTGACTCAGACACTCGACAAAGATAGCCTATTTGCCGAGTGTCCTGTCAAGACACTCGGTAAACAGACGACCTTTGCCGAGTGCCTAGCCCGTGGCACTCGGCAAATCTGTGATGTTTGCCGAGTGCAATGGCCTTTGCACTCGGCAAAGCATGTTCCCAGGTAGCCACTTTACCGAGTGTCATGGCCATTGCACTCGGCAAAGTGACTGAAAATAGCCTTTTTATTTGGTTTTTACATCCCAGCCAAACAAACAGAAGATATATATAACAAACATCACATATATATCATCAACATCACATATATATCACCAACACCATATATATATCACAAACGTCACATATATATCACAAACGTCACATGTCTCACAATATATCACAAATAAGTTCACAAGTAATCCAAGTGCTTCATCATCTACAACCACAATTGCAAATAGAAGTATCATTAACAACCACAAGTATCATCACCAAGATGGCCAATGAGACTGATTTGGTGAAGGATTCGCTAAAGCATGAGGATCGTTCGATGCCGCCGATTGATTCTGCACAAAGGAGAAGAGATTGCATGTGTGAGACAAGATAAATATATACCATACATGAATAAAACTTTCATACTCCACTAGGTTTGACCGTAAGTATGAACATACAAACTAAAACATTGGCAGTAAGCCAGCATCATCCCAAGTTCAGAGATGTAATAGAAATATTACATAGTCAAAAACAATAACTTTGCATAGTGACTATATACTGCTCAGTGGCTAACTGTATTGATTTAGGAGGCTGATTACAGCTTCAGTTACTTTTGAACCCACTTTTCAAAAAATTCCAATAGATAAGCAAGTAGCTAGCTTTCTGATTAAAGCTTCAGCCGATAAACTCTGAGAGGATCAAGATAATTATAGCACGTCATGTGATCCCAGGTCAATGTCTTCAATACTTACCACACAGTAAGCTCACCTCTACTCTATATTTGCAAAAAGAAAAATATGAACCCAATATTCAACTTTGATGTATTAGTAGCTAGCAGTAAGCTCACCTCTTCTCTAAATTGGTAATGATTAGACAATACTAAGTAAATCAAACTACAGTGTCAATACAATAAAAAGTAACAGCACAAGTACATAAGCTAGGGATTTTTAAAACTATTTACCTTGTTGTACATTGAGGGTGTTATATTAGCAGCTAGCAGTCAACTGCTACATGCACACATCAAACAGCATGTTATGAAACTACAGGAAGAGTAGTCACAATAGCTCTAATATTGTAAAAGGAACTAAAATGTGATTATTCAAAAACAAGCTACAATGCTCACACAATCTTCTAGTTTTTTCTCAAATAGTTTTACTAATTTTAATTAACAGGCAAGTTCAATCAACCAATAGATGTGCAGGAATAGCATAAATGATCTAGGCACATATGCCCCTGTGAACCATGGATGTCACATTCTTGCCTAAGTACAGGTACTGTCCATGAGTCATGTCCCTCGTTGCATTGCAAATTAGTTACATACAAGCATGAAGTTTTTAAATAACTACTCAGGTCTTTCTGAATTGAAGTAGCTTGGAAGACAAACATGTTTTCACTTCACTTCTGTATTTGTTTTATTAGGTTCACAAATGCATCAGGTTTCAGGCTCAGTCACCCATGCATCAAGATAGCATCAGGGTTGATAGGTTCACACATACACATACAACAATGGTCAACATAAGAGTATGTACAATGGGTGTGCTTATAAGAGATTATTAGTTCACATAAGCACATCAGTCTGCACCATGTGGATGCACTACGAAAGCTTAAATAAGGGAACTGAGAGGTGCACTATACTTTGTTTATGGTATTTCTAGTGTGATTGATATAATTAACTCTAATATTAAACTTAGGGACAACAAATATTGGTAGGTGTTTCAAAACTACAAAGCATCTATAGCTCTTGTACATGAACCCATGCTCTAATGGTGCTCCTTAGGTAGATTAATTATCCTATAAAAGAATCTGAAACTCCAGGACAGCAACAACACATTCAAGTAAATAAACAGGAATTCTAGACCACAAAAAATTACATTCTTTAACAACACAGTCTACTATTTAACTCACTTAGAATTAGCAAGCAAGGCCCAAATCAATATTTCACATAGAAACAAAGGATGAACTACTGCCGATATTACAATATCCCGGCAGTCATGGCAGTAGCAATTCACCGCGGGGCAACTCTAACCCTAGATCTTCTATCTGCAGCGCCTAAACAACCATATATACACATAACTCATCCATTCACCACCAAACGAAACGAACATATGTACACACATCTGAGGTAGAAAACAGCTCACCTTGGACGTGCATGCCCGATCTGTAGACCACACAGGATGGACGAGCAGCTAGAACTATTGGACGGTGCGCAGATCTTACGGAGATGACGCGGATCGAGCCCGCATCTAGGCCATCCGGCCGGGACGAAGCCAGCGTGTGTTGAGCTGTCTTTGCCACTGGTCGACCAGCATGGCGGCGCTTCGAAGCAACCACTTCGCGCCCGGGGCGGAAAGCGGCGGCGCTAACCGCCGGTGGCCGCGCGCCATGGCGCATGGCATGGCGGCATGGTAGGCATGGCTCTTGGCCGCCCCATCCCAGAGCGCGCGGCCCTACCGTAGGTCCACAGCGGAGCCGCGGGGACGAGCAGGGGTCGACATAGGGGAGGAGGATGCGGACACTACTAGGGACGTATACATCAATGATGCTCTTCTTTCGTCACTGAAGGCTCCAAAATCGTCACATATATTATTTTATGACGAATTTGTGACGATATGGTATTCGTCATTGAATGCGCGTCATATTTTACCTACCGTGATGAATTGTGTATTTTCGTCATAGATGTGCATTTGTTCTATAACGAAATGGTCGTCGTCATAGAAGTGTATTCTTTCTATGACGAAATATTTTCGTCATTGATATAGCCCCTTTTTCGTCATGACTTGCCGTTCGTTAGGGCGGCAGACGACGTCGCCGCCACTGTTGGCGGTGGCGTGTCTTGTCCACATATGGCGCCCACATTGCGGTGACGTGTCCGACCACGTGGCAGCTGACGTGGCTAGTGATGTGGATGGTCCACGTGTCCACTTTTTATTGGGCCACAAGGTTGGCAGCTGACGTGGCCAGTGATGTTGATGGTCCACGTGTCCACTTTTTATTGGGCCACAAGGCTTGCTGTGATATGTTCTCATTTTCATCACTGAAGTAAATAGAAATTCGTCACATAATCAATTACCAAATCGTCACAGAAAGGTTAGATAATTCATCAGAAGTGCACATGCTGATTTCATTACAGAATGCAAATAATACTAGAATGACCAAAAGCTTCCATAAATTAACAGATCCAGTATTCCAATGACCAACAACTTAATCAACAATTCTAAACTCGGTTCACATAACTCACTAGACATCAAATTGAACTACTAGTTTCATCTCAGTTCACATTAACATCATAGGAAATAATAAAAAGTTGCCAACCACCAGCAACATAAGTTACTACATAAACAAAATCACCAGCCAGACCCTTGCTTAATGAACCAAAGTAGCTCACTGAGCGGCGCTCATGTCGAAGAAGCATTGTTGATGGCCAAGATACGCTTGAGCAAGCGCATTGTTCTCCTCCATTGCCTTGTTGTTTATCTCTCATGACTTCTTGTACTCCTCCATCTCCTTTTGTGTCATCGCTTGACTTTTCCTCGGCTTCTTCACTTCTCTTCCACGAGTTCATCGATTTCACCTTGTACAATGAGCCGTAGCTTCGGTGCTAGTTGCTCCTCAAGCTCGCTTTCATTTGATGATGATGATTTGGAGGATGGCCTTTGGTTTGATGCCAACACTCTTGAGGAAAAGGTTTGAGCTGCATTACGAGAGAGCACCTAGGACACAACCTACACACCTTTGGACCTTCTTTGTCTCACCTTCAAAGAAAGTTTCATCCTCAAAGCTTCCATATTTGGTGAAACAAAGAATGACCCATCATTAGTTGATACTTATTGCATTAATTTGAGGAGGAAATATCACACAAGATGTATTTAAAAAAATAAAAACCTATGTTGCATTGATGTAAACCGATGCCAAATAGGTATGCAATCATGAGTCATTTATTTGTTGTTGTCGAGTGGCTGAATACAAGTAGAAGTCAACAACATAGGATTATTATTTAGCAAGTATGTCTAGCTATATTGGATTATGACCATTTTGAGCAAAAGACAAAATACAAAATGTTTGAAACAAGACATATTATCCAATTAATGAATAGTTGTTGGCACAGCGAAACAGATGTCGTGACTTACAACTGCTTCTCTTGCTAGTTCGGTCAGACCATGTTTGGAGCTGGTATGGCAGGTCTTGAAGGCCTCCACCGCATCAAGTTCTTCATTTTGTTCTCGTGCTTGGTTACGCATTATTTTTCTTCTTTTTACATTTCATAGATAATCAATTACAAAGAAAGTTTTCTCGGATGAAATGCAAAACAAGTTGTTTAGTGCAAATATGTACAGGGTACTCTTTACTTACATATGCATGTAAGTGTGCCACATAGCTGCGAGAACCCGTAGCTTGATGATACTTGACTTTACGATGATTCTGCTTGTTCTTTTCACTTGATTCCTACAAGATAACGAACATGTCAGATGAGATCATAGGTTTAAAATGAGAAGATCCTTTGGAATCTGAATGAGAAAGAATATATGAGAAGATACTCATACCATGTTTTTTGGATCAGACCACTTTGCAACTAGTGCCTTCCACTGTTCATCAGTCATGCATGCAACTGGAGAAGTTGTCCTAATCTCATTTGTAGGTACACCATTGAAGTATTTATTCTTGAGCCGATAACGCATTTGTCGCACCCCAGAGCGCAGCATATCGGTGCAAGCTTCCTCTGTTGGCTTGTCGTCAGGGTTAATGGCCAAGCGCCCCTAGTCATATGACAATTCCATATTTAATTAGTCAATTAAGGTTAAACAGATATACATGTTAACCGTAGAAATAGTAATGCACTTACAGAGAGCTTTCCCACAAAGTTTTTGTAATATTGATCGTCTCTCTTGTATTCTTTCCAATGAGGTAGGACAAGAACCTTATCCCGAATGATGACACCAGCCTCAGATGCAAACTTGGCTGCTTGAACAGGTTCATGAGGCCTTCTTTTGCCTTCAGCAACAGCTATGGGCATTCTCCTTCCCATAGCTTTTGTCATCTGTCCATTGTGTTCCCTTGGTGGGTGGCACTGGTCTCCTTGGGGCTCATTTGTTGGGAGCTACAAAATAGAATTTGCATTAAAATGATTTAGTTTCATGCAGATAAGCAAAACAGATGACATATTTGAATGACAAAGAAACTATAACTTGCCTTCAGTGTCTTTCTCTCCGGCTACATTGTCTTCATCAAGACTTTTGTCTTGTCTTGAGCACCAGCTCCACCGACTTCTCTGTCAGTTTGTATTGTCCCCGACCACCAGCTCCATTGCCTTCCTCTACATCCATATAAGACCTTTGTGGTGGTATTTCATCATGACCATCTGTCAGGATCCTCTACATTATGGCCATCTCTCTGCTGAAGGTTGAAGCCTTTTGATGATCTTGTTTGGGATTCGTGAGTTTGCACTGTGATCCTTGAGATGCCCTCACTCTCTTACTAGCCCTAACTCCCTGGCGCCATGGTGGGGCCTATCTTCTTCTTCTTTGAAGCTAGGACTTTCCGACTATACCCTGGAGGATACTGTGGAAAAAAATCAAGTAAGTCATGTGCATTAATAAGCAAGACCATATATTAAAAAACAGGTATGCAAGAAACAAGATGCATCTAAAAGCAAGGGCATATATTAAAGAACAGATTAAAAACATTCAAATGCAATACAAATATTCCCCATCTAGTACTTTGAAGATAGAAGAAGCACCTTAGTTGCCAGGGGTTGTGGCTGCACATCAGATTCAGTGTCATCATCATCACTATCTCCTTGATCATCTTCAAGGAGATACTCCGATGAATTTGAATCTTCACTATTTGTTTTCTTGTTTGCTGATTTTCCCCCTTCTTTGATGCAGATTGTGATAGAGTTATTAAATTCAGTAGATAGATTTTTCAGGCCGAATTCTTGCATCTTCTTTAAATTGTTCGCCACGCGTGTATCCCGACGTCTCTCATAATCAGTTTTTGGAGGTTCTTACAAAAACAAGCAAATTGTGTCTATTAGAAAATAAAAAGGAGTGAACTAAGTACTAAGAGGTAGTAATACTAGATGCTAGATAGATAAGAGGTAGGAGCTAGTAGTGCCTGCTGAAGAGCTAAGGGATAAGAGGTGATAGGTTATAGGAAACAAGTAATAGGTCAGAGGTAAGAGGTACAACTTTTTTTGTACTGAAGCACAAATACTCTAAATTATCTAAAAATTTTGAAGCTAGCTTGTACTGAACTACTCTTTTCCTATCAACACACATGCATGCACTCTGCTACATCCAAATCCAGATCATTAAAATGGTCAAACAGACCACGCCAAAATCTATTTGAAGTCAAGAGTCACAGCTACTTTTAGAATTGTACTACAATTGCTTTCAGAAAACATCACTGCTGCTTCTATTTCAGACAAATACAAGTGCAAAATAGATTACTAATTGCACATCAATACATAAATACAGATCCAAGATTCAGAATACAATTTGACTGAATGGTTAGCAAACCAAGACTGGGTACTATTCATACGCAGCAGAGTATATAGCAACACACTTGTACAGGCAGATATGGGACAGTGGGTACTATTCATACAATTTGACTGAATGGTTAGCAAACCAAGATTCATTCAGCAAAACATTTCATTCAGAACTAAAACAGATCAAGTTCTCCCACAGCTAGAGGCACAAAACAGATCAAGTTCTCCCACATCAATACTTACGGTCGAGTTGTTTTTAAATTCTATAAAAAACAAACGAAGTCCGAAAATCATGAAACTTGTCAAGATGTCAAGATATCATATGTGGAGGCTGTGATAAAAAATTGAGGAGGTTTCGCGCAAATTTATCACGTACGATGCTTGTTTTGGGCTTGGAGCTACAAAATCTTCGTTGGCTACATCACTCATATCATGTTCTAGCCGTCTGAACTCATTGGTGGAGCATTGCTCGTGTGGGTGTGTCACTCGCATTCTACTTTTCTCAAACTCATAACAGGTGCATACAATAGCTAACTATTTTAGTTGAATTAATCTCATGTCAATTTATCATACAAGATTAATACATTATTGCACTAGTGTTTACTACAGGCCTTGGAATTTGTTTCATTTAAGGTCAAGTCCAATTAAATTCAACAGAAATAGCTATCTCATTATCATTGGCATGACACCATATAGTAAATTATAGTTTTCGTTGCAACATAAAGACATATTTGCTAGTTAGTTCTAAAATTAGTTACACATGTTCATACAACCTATACCATACTGCACTTGGACTATATATATGATTTAATAATGTTAGTACAATCTGACCACAGTTACACATAGTGTATCGTGACTAATGGTTGGACTAGATATGTACTCTCTCGGTGCTAAACCATAATAGATTTTTAGTAGTTGTAAGTCAAGCCATTCTAATTTCAATTTATAAAGAGAGTAATAGCATCTATACGACGTTAAAGAGGATATATGAGAATACAATTTATAATGTATCTAATTAAACTGATTTTATATTATAATTATGATTGTTTTTTTTACAAATTTAATCAAACTTATGATAGATTGATTTAGGATAACTAAAAATCCACTATATTTCGTGACACACGGAGTAGCAATTAGAATTAGTTTGCCGATTCGTTTTAGCCTCACACGAGAAATGAACAAATTTTGACATCTTACAATCTGTGTTTGCCCAAATCTATTTAGTTCGGACAACTAGCTATTGAGATTTGCTCTAGAAAAAATTAGGGTCCATTTGGTTGGGCTTTTTAGCCCATTTTTACTTCCCAAAAGCCAAAAGTTCAACTAAATGGGTTGCTTTTGCAGGCTGTTTTTTCAGAAGCAGTTGTTTTTTCATAGTACATTTTTGAAAAAGCATCTTAGACCTGCTTTTGGCTTTTGACTTTCTGTTTTTAAAAAATGGATGAAATAAAGAACTCTTTCATAGTTGTTTCTATAGAGAGATAAAGATAAGAGGTATACTTTATACTTGTTTCAACCAAGCAACTTTCAGTTTTTCCACAGCTTACAACCCACAACGGTTTTTCTACGGCACACAACCCACAATCGCTCTTTCCTACGGCCACAACTCAACCAAACAGACACGTAGCTAGTAGCAGTTTATCTTCAAACTGCTTATATTAAGTTACAGATTGGGCGCCGTCATAGATGTTTTGTTTCAGTGTTTGTGCGAGATCGAGCCAAACGAGAAATTTCTGTGTTCGAGATTCCTTTTGTAGGATCAAGAATCCGAGATAGGCCCGAATGCTGGGATACCGGCCTTGGTACACCCCGCGACGACGTCCCTGCTCCCTTCCGGGTTGCTGGTCACCACCACCACCTCCGAGCCCCAACGCCGCGCCGCATCCACGGCCAGCGCCGCCACGTTGGGCCGCCCCATCAACGTCGTGTCGTGTACGATCACCCGCCCGCGGAGCCTCTCGCTGCTGTACGCCGCCGACTTCATCTCCTCGCCATAGTTGGCGTCGATGCCCTTGGCCACCCACACCAGCGACAGTTCGGCCGGGCCGGGCTGCATCAGGAAGGACATGAACACGCATATCCCGGAGCCCGTCGCGACCATGGTCGCCCGCCGGTACATGTTGAGGAGGTAGGGAAGCCCGGCGAAGTGGACGCCGCGCACCCAGAGGCGCGTCGGAGGGTCCGATATGAGGGCCCGGGTGAAGTCGCCCACCGCGCCGGCGAGCATCGCGTGCGTGTCCCCGTTGTCGGAGATGATGCCGAAGGCGTGCCACTCGGACAGCGGAGAGCGGCTGATGCGGCCGAGAAGGCCGCCTTTGACGCCGCCCTGGAAGGTTATAACGGAAGCGTGGCTGGACCGCGCGGTGACCGTGACCGGCACGCGCCGCACGGTGAGCCATGGCTGGAAAGTGAAGAAGGTGATGGCGGCAGTGAGCCAGAGCTCCTGCCGCTTCACGAGGACGGAGCCGGTGAGCCGGTGGTAGGAGGCGGTCGCTGGGTCATAGCCGGCGGAGAGCACGAAGAAGACCCACAGCAGCGCGAGCGCAGTCCAGCCGGCGAACCGGTGCGTGCGCTCGAACACGTTGTGGTGCAGGTGGCGCACCAGCGGGAACGCGGCCATGCACGAGAGCGCGAGCAGGCCGAATATGGCCGACGCGACACCGACGACCTCTCGTGGCGTCACGTCGCGGTGCTGGAGCGCCTGCACCAGCGCGTACACCAGCCACGCCAGCGACGACACGCCGCAGCCACTGTGCACGCCGCCTAGCGACTGCAGGATCGCGGTCACTCCGGTCTTCACGACGACTGGCACCCACGGCCGGCCGAAGAGCGCGACGGCGAGCCAGAACACGACTCGGAGCACCGCCTCGGAGCGGCACAGCGTCAGCGCCAGTATGTTGCCCATGGCGAAGACGGCGGCATGCGCCCTGGCGTAAGGAAAGTGTCCCGTCGCGGCGAGCACGAGGCCCACCGCGTTCAGCGCGACGCACAGGACGAAGAGGCGCTTGTACACGGTGAACAAGCCCTGGTCGAGCAGTATGACACCCAGCCTCGAGCGCGCGGACGATGCCGCCGGCTTCGCCGGAGCCGGAGCGTTCGCCTTCTTTCTCGGTTGCACGTCATCGACAGCCACAGCTGACGCGGCGATGGCCATCTCCACGTCGGCACCGTTGACGACGGGCTCATCGTCCGCGTCCTCGTCATCGGGATCGAGGTCGCAGAAGTGGCTGCTCACGCGGCTCGTCGACCTGCCAAAAGCGGAAGGAAAGATCCTGGAGGAGGCACGGCTGAAAGACTGCGGCAGCCAGACCCACCGGCCGGCGCTCGTCGGGGTCGGCGCGTCCGGCGGCGGCTGGGGCGGATAATGATCGACGGCTTGGTGGGCGAACGGGCTGCCCGGTGACGCCTTTTGCTCGAAAGAGACGCCACGACAGCTCGAGAACTTGGTTTGCATCATGGGCTTGGCTTGGTCTTGCCAATCCATGGCGCCACGCACGACACAAGCTAGTCTTTGGGGGAGAGAGCTAGGGCAAGGTGATCTAGCAAGGTTTCTGGCTTCTTCGACGTGCTGGGTGCTGGAATATCATGTATGCGTATCTATAGGCAGCCAGCTTTGCATGGCTCTGACTAGTTTACGCATTAATTGCTTGAGCTCTGAAGCCGTCAATACGGAGGAATAAGCTCATGTTGGCAATTTGGCATGTAGAGAAAATATTTAATTGGGGAGTTCCTCAAATTCTGTATTTTTTATTAGGCCAATCTTAGTGTGGATTTTATAAGAGTTTCGTGAGCATTAAATAATCTGATGTGACATAGTATTGATGAAGAGACATATGATAAAAGATTCGAGTGATGAAACGACTTTCGTAGAGATGAAACTTTTTATACTGTTTTCAACACATGGGATCTTGGAAACTAGCGAGACGAAACTTTTACTGAGACTGGCCTTATTGCATCCTTATTTTGGACTAAACATAAAAAGGTAGATCTCCAAGATTTTTTGATGACTAACACACAGATGAGAAACAAAAGAAATCCTTTGAGAACGGAGCGAGAGAGAAATGCATGCCAAAATCACTAACTACTAACTAGCAAGTAGATTTCTTTTGGTTCAGCTACCACCTTATCCTACTATATGGGTTTGATGAGAAATAAGCATCTAAATATTGGCCAGACGATCAGTTTAAATTATTACACAATTGATACTACCCCATGCACGTATCCCAACTAGCCCTCATTTCTTTCAAAAAAAAAAAAAAAAAACTAGCCCTCATTTGTTGCAAGCAGTCACAACAGCCTCCATTCTCCTCACTCCTCAATTCAGGAATTGACGAGCCTACCATTACTCAATTCAGGCATGAGTGCCCATTGCCCCTGGCTCCTTTAAGTCTTTGACGAGCCTACCATTTGTAGCACCTTGAAATCCTAATCCTAACTTCTCTTTGTTGGTGGTCTCCACCTACTTCGTTCAACATCTTCCCCATCCAGATGAGGCGCTAATCGTTCCCTACATATATAGCCAGCTGCATCCTACAATAACATAACGGTCCGGTATCGTGGAGCTATGGAAAGAGCGCAACGGTCCGGTCGGCACAACAACTGTTTGCGACAATCGTCGTGAAGGGCAACTCCCGGATAGCGGCATGTTTCGCGGCCTTGTCGACGCTGCTTGCACGTGCGAGCTCTTGAGGGTGCACCCGGCCCTTCCTTCGTCGCCTACTAAGGCCATGTAATCGTCCGTAACCCAGCGTTTGGCGGTGCCTATATTTTTTTTGGCCCCCTTTGGCCGCATCTGGCAGCTCGTCGGTGAATGCACAAGGGACTGTAAACTCTCTCTCTCTCTCTCTCTCTCTCTATCTCTATATATATATATATATATATATATATATATATATATATATATATATATATATATATATATATATATATATATATATATATATTTGATTAATTAGTGACCATAAAATAACTTATTCTGTGGCCATTTTGAGTTACGATAATTACCATGCTAATTTACGAGATTACAATAACTCCTTACTAAGTGATTTACTATAACATTATCATAAATATCACCGTGAGTTGTAGTAACACAAGTATCGTAAATGCATATTCATGTTATCGTAAATTGGTATAAATATTATCGTAAATCAAGGTGACTATAGAATAAGTTATTCTATGGCCAGCTGCAGAATAGCCTTACCATATATATATATATATATATATATATATATATATATATATATATATATATATATATATATATATATATATGGTGCATTTTAATCTTAATGTTAATGTTGCTTTGATACATTAGGGAAGACAATGTCCTCTATTCCCATCTTCTGTAACCATGTTAATAGCCTTCCTCTAACCCTAATTATGTGAGTTTTGATACAAATACAATGTCCTCTATTCCCATCTTCTGTAACCATGTTAATAGCCTTAGGGAAGACAGAGTTGGTTGCATAGTTTTCTACACAGACCTACAAATGTTACACTCACATCTCTACAGATATATAAGATGGCTGATCTTGTTTGTCATTTGTATGAACAAACTTTGCTTCTTTTACATAGATTGTGATTATGGATAGTAGAAGATACAATAAAAAATTGTTCTGGAATATCAGAGGCATTAATTCACAGGAAAAGTGAGATGCTTTAAGAGATAAAATTACAGAGAGTGCATGTCAAATCATTTGTATTCAGGAAACAAAAAGAGAGAACTTTGACATCTTCTACATTAAAAAAATCTATCCCAGAAATTTCGATCAATTTGCTTTTTCTCCTTCAATAGGAGCTTCAGGTGGTCTCTTGACAGCATGGAACAACAGTGTTTTTGAGGGCTCTGTAATTCAGACAAATTCCTATGCCATCACTGTTAAGATGAGAAACAAGCTTGATAACAAAAGTTTTCATATTACAAACATATATGGCCCATCACAGTCCAATTAGAAGCTAGCTTTTGCCACTTGGCTCATGAACTTTGACATCAGTGAGTTTGATGACTGGCTACTTGCTGGGGATTTCAATCTGATTAGGCAACCTAAAAATAGGAACAAACCAGGAGATGATCTGCCAGAAATGAACTTGTTCAATGAAATTATTTCAGACTTGGATTTAGTTGAAATACTTTTCAATGGCAGAAGCTACACTTGGGCCAATATGCAATCTGATCCCCTCCTTGTCAAGCTAGATTGGGCTTTTACCTCCTCTGGCTGGACCTTTTCCTGTCCTGCTACACATGTACAATCTTTGTCAAGGCCCATTTCAGATCACATTCCTTATGTGCTGCACATTGGAAGCTCTATCCCCAAATCAAATATTTTCAGGTTTGAAAATTATTGGGTTGATCATGTTGACTTTCTAAACACTATGGTTCTTCATTGGAATAATTCTCCAGTATATGCCAATGCCTCCAAAAATCTGTCTTCAAAGCTCAAACATGTCAGAGCTGGTCTGAGAAAATGGAGCAAGAACCTTTCTAAGCTAAGCAAGCTCATTTATAATTGCAATTGGGTCCTCCTACTGATGGATGGTCTTGAGGAGCAAAGACAACTCTCAAATCTAGAAAAGGCTTTTAAAAGGCTGGTCAGAAGTCACCTTGCATCCTTATTGGAATCCAAAAGGATCTATTGGAAACAAAGAAACACTGTTAGATGGGTAAAACTAGGGGATGAAAATAGTAGCTTTTTTCACACTATGGCTACTATAGCACATAAGAGAAATTTCATTTTTTCTCTTACAAAACCTGATGGTACTGTTGTCACATAGCATGAACAAAAAGCAAATTTGCTATGGGAATCCTATAAGAAAATGTTAGGAATCCGTGAATTCTCTAACATACACTATGATCTCAGCACATTATTGACAGAGCATAATCTTGATCATCTAGACATGAGTTTAGTCAAACTGAAATTGAAGCTGTCATCAAATCTCTGCCAAACAACTATACCCCTGGACTAGATGGTTTTAATGGACTGTTCATTAAAAAGAGTTGGGACATAATCAAAGGTGACTTTCTAAAATTTTTAAGAGATTTCTATCATCAGAATACAAACTTAAAGAGTGTGAACTCCTCCATCATTGCCCTAATCCCAAAAAAGAGCAATCCTGAAATAGTTGATGATTACAGGCCCATTTCTCTCCTGAATTACACCCTTAAGTGCATCACAAAGTTACTTTCAGCAAGGCTGCAATCAGTGATCCTACAACTAGTACACACCAATCAATATGGATTCATCAAGGGAAGAATAATCCAAGATTGTCTAGCATGGGCATTCCAATTCCTTCATCTCTGTCATCACTTAAAAAAGGAAGTCATAATTCTCAAACTGGACTTTGAGAAAGCTTTCGACAAATTAGAGCATGAGGTTATATTGCAAATTCTTAAATATAAAGGATTCTCTTCAAGATGGATAAATTGGATTTATAATATTTTGAGCTCAGGTACTTCATCTATTCTACTGAATGGTATTCCTAGAAAAGGATTTGAATGCAAAAGAGGGGTCAGGCAGGGTGACCCACTCTCACCCCTATTGTTTGTATTAGCAGCTGATCTTCTACAGTCTGTTGTCAACAAAGCTTGGCAGATGGGCATCCTCAAGCACCCTCTTACTGACACCTTTGGAGGTGACTTCCCAATTGTGCAGTATGCTGATGATACTCTTCTCATCTTGCCTGGAGATGCTAGAACCCTTTTTAGCCTCAAATGCTTATTAAGATCATTATCTGATTCTAGTGGTTTACATGTGAACTTTGGGAAGTCATTCTTGGTACCCATTAACTTAACAGATGAAAAGGCCATACATTTAGCAAGAACATTTGGTTGCAGCATAGGAACTATGCCCTTCACATATTTGGGTCTACCACTTGGAACAACTAATCCTACCCTGCAAGAATTCACACCTCTTTTGACAAAGATTGAGAAGGCTTTGTGGAGTCCGCAAACAACTATCTTATGATGGAAGGCTCATTTTAGTGAATTCTGTATTTTCAGCTCTCCCTACATTTTACACGTGCAGTCTCAAAATTCCACTTCAAGTAATTAAGCAAATTGATATTTATAGAAAGCATTGCTTATGGAGCAAATGTGACATCAACAGAAGAGGAACTTGTCTTGCTGCCTAGGAAACAGCCTATAAGCCAAAGAATCAAGGAGGGCTAGGTATTATTGACATTAAGAGTCAGAACAGTGTTTTACTCATGAAATTTTTGGACAAATTTTACAACGAGGCAGATATACCCTGGGTCTCCATGACATGGTCCAAATTCTACTCCAATCCTCAGACACCACCACAGGCTAGGAGTCCAATTGGATCCTTTTGGTGGAAAGACATTATGACTCTTTTTGATAAATTCAGAGATCTTGCCATCTGTAATCCAAGCAATGGAAGGACTATCCTTTTCTGGACTGATAAATGGTCAGATCAAAGTATCCAAGAGCTTTACCCTCAACTCTTCTCTTTTACCAAACAGAAGAAATGT